GTCGGGTAGAACGGGTATTTTCTTAAGAAAATAATACCCGATACCCGACCTATATTGTAATTCGGGTTTTCGGGTTTTGGGTATTCGGGTTTGAGGTCGGGTCGGGTAATTATCGGGTATACCCAAAAATTTCTTAAATGACACTTATTGATAATTTTTTATTTTTTTATTTTTTATTTTTACATGTTGGTTGGTTTAATAAAGAATCGAGTAGGAAAATACTCCATACAATTAACAAGTACATATATAATAACAATACAAATCATTATAATATGTTTGTATTATAATAAAGAATACAAATCATTATAATAACCATACAATTAACAAGTACATATATAATAACAATACAAATCATTATAATAAAGAATCGGGTAGGAAAATACTCCATACAATTAACAAGTACATATTTTTTTATTTTTTTATTTTTACATGTTGGTTGGTTTAATATGTACTTTTTTAATTCCATTCCGTGCGATAGTGAGAAACTGAGAATTGTGATGACGGTTCAGGACTTCAACTTCAGCGTCGTATTCCCTTTGCAAGTTTGCGTCGACCGTCGAGCCGTCGTTCATAAGAAAGAAACGAAGGGTTTTGTTTTATTTGAAGTGTGCGTACGTGACCGCATTGTATATTTGGTATTATTTAAAAAATGAATTCGGGTATTCGGGTATACCCGAAAATAAATATTCATACCTAAAACCCGACCTATATTATTATCGGGTTAACCTATTACCCGAATGTTCATACCCGTTACCCGTTCTACCCGACCCATTCTACCCGAATTCGGAACGGGTCGGGTGGGTAGGACGGGTTTCAGGTTTTTTCGACAGGCCTACTGCACGCCCCATCGTGAACCTTGCTGCACTTGCCATGGCGGCACCGGCCCTGCTGGCCTCTCGATCTCGAGTCAAAAACCTTGGGCCTCTTGCCCGAATCCTCTAAACCTTAAACCTGATCCGACTTCCTCTTCCTCTCCATTTATAAATCAACCTCTTTCTCTGGCTCTTGCAATCATATCCTCCAGTTTCCTGCAACTGGATTAGCTCACAAACTGTCGGATATCACTCCTCAACATGTCATGGTATCTCGCCTTCTTCATATCCTCGTCCGCCACATACTGCGAACCAACAACGCTCTCACGCGGAACATAGAGGTGATCTCAGCCACCGTCTCAAAATGAAAAGTGCTCAAGCGCTCATCCAGAATCTCCATGATACCCTCCTTGACCGTGCCGAAGATCACAGGAGTCTACTCAAGAATATTGTGGGTAATCTCTGACGAAATGAACTCTCGCATCTGATCATCCAACTGTCTGGCTCCAACACCCGAAATTGAACCCTCACCAGCACCAGAACCACTACCAGGTCTTCCTCGAGTGATCATCATACTAAAAATAGACCATTCAAACCATCAGAACACATGAAAAATATATGCATCAAGGAATCCCATACTGTACAAGCTTCCTTGCATCATTGCAACTTTCCTTGACTCGAGTACGGATCCTCTGATTTTAGTAGTACGGACTCATACTACCTTCCACATCTATCCGTACTTTCCTTAAGGATCGCTTCAAATCCTCCAAGTCACTCCCTTATCCATACATACAACTCTAAACAATACAAGGCTCCCAACACTAAATATATTCCTAGGGTTTCTTAGGGCAACCACCACACTACTCCCTGCCATCAGCTGCAGAAGGAACTCCCCCTAGCACCCTCTAACTAGCTCACGAATACAATTACATATCACCGACACCAGATAATTCTTCGAATGAAAGGTCTTACACTACAATGGTTGGATTCAAACAAGAGTTGCACAATAGAGTTAAAACATAACCTTCTAAAATTATGTAGTCTCAATAATATGTAACTTAGAATATTCGCTTACTAGTTAGCTGAAGTTAGTGAGAACGCCTAAAAGGCACAAGGCAACCAGCACTCGAGCATTGAGTAACCAAAATCAAGCATAACCTAAACATGTCATCCTATCACCGACTGATCAGTACTAGCATGCAAACCTACAAGCTCATATATTAAGCATACAAATGCATCTCTCTTATATCCTTAACACTAATCTAGCATACGATTCACAGATTCACAGATTAAGCATATCATAAAATATGTATGGGTATTTTGGGAAAACTTACTTGAGCTCGGTCGATTGCATTCACCACACCCCTTTCTTTTGTTATAAATTTCTTTTTTATACAAACATTCTTTTTATAAAAATCTACCAAATCATCAGTTTGAGTTCAGACACACTCGAGAGTATGCCTGAATCCCTCAAACTAAGGCTTTGATACCAACTTGTAACGTGCCAAAAATTAAGACAAAAAATTTCAATTTTTTGAATAATAAAACTATCTTTCAAATCATGTTCATAAAACCATAACAGAATCAAGTATGACCAAAACATCCAAATACATCAGAGTCAAATAAAATACGGAACAATGTGGTGCGCGCGATGCGATCACCCCGACCTCTTCCCCTTGGATCCGGAAGTACCGGAAACATAAACTAAAAACCGTAAGCGCGAAGCTTAGTGAGTTCCCCAAACCACCACATACCATCCATATCAAACATATAACGGTCCTCGCCCGACATCGAGCCCCGCTCGGAACAGATCTGTCGGAAATATGAGATGGGCCCTGCCTCATCACATTCATCAGGCCCCGCCTGGTATACATATAAACACATAAACACATGCAGGAATCACAAAGATAAATAACATACAATATTATCATCAGGCCCCGCCCGGTATACATATCAAATATCATACATCCAAAAGTCACGCACACAACTAGCACCCTAATCATAATAAACCATTGACCGACATTGGTGCCTTCGACCCGCCAAACATAGTGAGGAAACTCACCTCAAGCTGCTGAATCTCTTAGATAAAAACTTGGACTGATGATCCGGAAAAATCCCCATGCTAACACCATCAAATAATATCTAATCAATAATTGGGTTACAACCCATAACTGGAATCCTAGTCCAATATTTCAACACTCAGGGTAAAAGACCATTTTACTCCTTCCTAACTTGGCCTAAAATCCGAGGCCCAATCCAATAGCACCAAAAATCCCAATAAGGCCCAACCTCCAAAATGGGCCCAAAACCCATTATGGGCCTCAATCCAAGAAGGCCCAAAACTCATTTAGTCCAAATGTGGCCCAAGCCGTGAAAGTCAATAGAAGTCAACGGCAACTGAGTACGCCCGATGTACTCAGGCTTACGCCCAACGTTCTTCAAGAATCCCTAGTATGTGCTACGTATGAGCTGGGTATGCCAAACGTACTACCAAACGAGCATTATCGGGGACCGGGTAGGGTACATGCAATGTACACATACGTATGCCCAATGTACGTGCCCATTAAGAACTTTTCCCATTAAGCGCTTAATACTTGCAACCAAAAGCCCAAACTTTAGATCCAAGTCTTATCAAAGGTCTTAATCCATAATTTTATGAACTTGGAACCTTTGTATGGTTCAAAAAGACCCAAACCTTACTTTTAGCATTCTACTTTCACCATAATGACCTAAACACATGTATGGTTGATCCACAACCATCAAGATGCTAACTTTATGGACTAAAGACCTCAGAAACATCAAGAGAAGCAAATCCTAACTTCTGGAGTGGAAGGAATCCATTAGATCTCACCATATGACCAAAAAGGGACCAAAACTTCATAACGACTAGATCTAAGCATACAAGGAGCAAGTTCCAAGCTTTATACCTCAATGAAGCTGGAAATGATGTGAGAAATCTGGATCTACAAGCTCTCCTTTAATCAAGGCTCCTTCTTCCAAGTTCTTCTTCTTCAAATCTCACCAACACACACAAAAACACACACAAGAGGGTCAAATCTCTTCAAAAGGGGTTATGGTTTCGAAATGCGACTCAAAGGGCTTTGGAGGCTAAGAAATGAGAGGTTCAAGGTTCATAATGTTGTTTAAATATGGTCCAAAGCCTAAAATTTAGGGTTTGTCTCCTGCATACCTACGCCCCCCATACGAGGAGTACGCCCCGCATACTATAAGTTTTCCAAAAATGACAAAACTGCCCTCTAGGGACCAAATATGCAAAGTATTTACATACCAAAGGTCAAAAATGAAATTACCTTGAATCGGGTGTTACACATTTGTTCTTGGAAATGCTTTGAAGGAGATGAAGGATAGATTTAAGAAGAAGACAATTCATGCTAGTAACTTAAATGAAGGTGAGAAGGGTAATATGCGTAAATCGTATGTAGGAGTTCTGAGTGGAAATGTTCATAAATGAAAGACAGATGTTAAATTTGTCCCATCGGCTGCTAGAATGGAGGATGGGCCAGCTATCATTCCTATCGAAAAAGTTGAAGAATACCAGCATGCATTTTGGTAACACGCTTTATGTATATTTACTTGATAAGAAGATCTCTTTTTTTGTTATTCAAAAGGAGCTCTTTAGGATTTGGAGAAATGATGGCTTGGAAGAAATGTTTATGAATAGGAAGATGTTTATTTTTTTCAAGTTTAGTAATGAGAATGGGATGCAAAAAGATCTTAGAGGGTAGTCCTTGGATTATGTTCAACACAATCCCAATCTTTTTACAGAGGTGGAGACCATGGCTTGCACTCTCCAAAAACTGTCACAATAAGATTCTTGTATGGATTAAGATCTATGATCTTCCTCTTGAAGTTTGGAGTGGAGATAATCTTCGCATTGTTGTGAGCAAAGTTGGTATCCCTTTAGCCTTTGATTCTTATACTGAGGATATGTGCCTTGAACATAAAGGTAGGAACGCATATGCTCGTATTCTGGTGGAAGTTTCAGCTGATAAAGAATGGAAAATTAGTGTTGATGTCACGCCTTGGGATTTCGTTCTAAATTCAGTTGTTACTCAAAGTTGTGAGATAAAATATGCTTGCAAACTAACTAGATGAAATCATTGTAAAGTCTTTGTTCATACTGAGAAGGTATGTGCTTATGTTATTAATGGGGTGAATGGAGAATAGATGGTTAATTCTGCTGCTAGCTCTCAAAACGTGGAGGATTCGTCTGCTTTGGATGTTGATGGATACATTATGGTTACAAAAAAAGCTGGAAATAATGGGAAATTTGTCTCTAATGGGAGTGGTATAGTGGGTAAACATCCTAATGCTTCCAGGAACCAAAGAGTGAATGGGAATGGTGGGATTAATAAAAGGGGAAACTGTAACAGTCGAAATAATGGTAAAAAAGGTGAGAATGGTATAGGACAAGGAGGGAATTTGAATCGTGGGAGTGTTAGCCACTGGAATTATTCAACAAAACAAGAATTTACTATTACAAACAACAGAGCTAATAACTTAGATAAGCAGTGGCAAAATGGGAATGTTAGTGGGGAAGCTATTAAACAAGGGAAAAGTGAGGTTAAGGGTATGGGAATGAAGGAAACCTTGAAGGATGACACTATTGGTAGTTCAAAGAACTGTTTTGATGTTTTGAAAGATATTACTAGTGAGTTTGTGGACTGTATGGAGGAAAATATTAGGTGCCAATAGGTTGATTCTTCTAAGGCTGGTGCTAGTGGTCTGAAAAATGTGATACCTTATGATCCTTGATATTGCCATATATATACATATTTTTAGGCAATATTTTAATACATTTTTATTAATATTTTGGTTATTTGCAAAGATATATGATAGTTATGAGATTAAATTGTATTTTGCAGCCAAAAGGAACACTCTTGAAGATAAAGGACCAAAATGGACAAGAATTGGAACTTTGGAGGATGGAAGCTTAAAAGAATAAAAATCCCAGCGAAAAACCAAAATCACGACGTGGCCATCACATACACGACATGGAGTGAGTGTTCTAGAAGATAAGTGCACGAGAAGTCAGAGACCTTGCCCGATAAGGATTTATCTCAAGTTCGCGACGTGAAATCTTTGTTCATGTCGTGAAGCGTGAAAATTCCTAAAACTATAAATACTCATTCACTTCCACGGTTTGAGGAAGCTTAGAATATTTTCAGAGAGATTTCTGGAGAAGAACTATTCAGAGAAACCAAAATTAAGTATTCTAGTAAGGAGAATTATTTGAAGATCGAGAGATTGAAGATTATATTCATTATATTAGTTTGGTACACTTTAATCATGTCTTAGATTGTTGAGATTTTGTTCATGTTTTCAGCCATGAGTAGCTGAATTTAGCTGTTTTCGTTTAGCTAGATGAAGCTTTAACTCTATGGTTTAGTTTATTAAATTATGGATTTTAATTGTTGGTTATGAACTTGTGTTTGATTATCTTTACCTAGCATGTTAATATTTGATACTTTGAATGCTTGAATTCAGGTTTTGTGTAGCTTAGTGACCATTAAATTACATGAACTTGTTACCTAGTAGTTTAGTGACTATTAAATTACTAGAGCTAGGATCGATCCAATCTTAGACAAGCGATAAAAGTAACTAATTTAGCTGTGTTGGAGAACATAATTTGTGACCATAATTGTGTTTATTTAGATCAATCTTACATAGCTTATATACATTCTATAACTGATTCTATGCTTGCTAGTGTATGACCATACATAGTTTTACATGAATAATGAAAACATTAGTAAATTTGGACTTGAATTACTAATAACATAATATTTGATAACCAACATTAATAATCCATAATTAGTAGCTAACCATAGAGGAGAAGTGGATTTGAACTAAATGGAAGAGTTCTTAGTAATTGATTGAAATCGTTAGTTAAAAAGTTTAAGTTTGTCTGAACTTGCAAAATCAGATAAAAACCAGTTTTTCTTTTGCTTGTTTTTAGTGGCGGAGCCAGGGTAAAAATAAAGGGGTATCCCGAAATTTTTTTGTGTAATATACAATAAGAAAAAAACCGAAATTTCATTAAATATAGAGTTCAACTTCCATAACAAAGTTACGTTTTAAAGTTCACCTCTTCGATCTTCCATTTTACGAAAGCGAGTAATTACATTTTTAGTCTTAACATTCTCTAGTGCTTCCTTTTCTACACTACAAATCAAAGCACCGTTCATAAAATCGTCACCTATTCTATTACGCAAATCGGACTTCAAGAACTTCATTGCAGAAAAACATCGTTCAACGGTTGCGGTTGCGACGGGCAAAACCAAAGATAGTTTTAGTAATCTATAAACCAAAGGAAAAGAGAGGTGCTTCTCGGTTTCCACCAACAAACGAGAGAGGTATGCAATTCCCTTCAATTCGAAAAATCTCTCATCATGGAGCAAAGAGTGATAATAGATATCAAGTTGCCCGTTAAGTTGTGCCCTTTCTGAATCGTCAAAATCGTTTTGTATTTCTCGCTTAGCTTTAACAACTTTGCTTTATCAAAACTAGAAAATGAGTCACAAGGACTCAAAGCAGCCATGTTCTCCATCAACTCCGTGCCAACTTCACTAAATCTATCCCCAAATTCTTGAATTTGCATATCTAAAATTGTGTTAAAAATCACAACTTCAAAATGATGTTGATTAGTCTTATTGGTCCTACGCTTGCGTGGGGTAACATAATATTCCAACATGTCCACAATTCTAATACTATGCTTTTCACAAAAAGCACATACCTTCTTCCAAATTTGTGGAAACCCATCTTTTCTAAAAACTAGCAATGCTTTCTTTGTCCCTTTTACTAACGAAGTCGCTTCCAAAATATTTTGATCTTTTTTTTGAAGATGCTTTGACAAGGTATCCGTGAGGCATAAAATTTCCAACATCAAGTGTAAAAGAAACACGAAATCAATTGTCTTGAAATATGACAAAATACCCTTTGCTTGATTACGATTAGATAAAGTAGACCCCTCCTCTTTGACATATTTAAGTACCGCAACAACTTCTGCAAACAAATTCACCAAACTTACAATTGTTCTAAAATGTGAACCCCATCTAGTATCTCCAGCTCGAACAAGAGAAATCTCTTGATTCAACCCTCTTCCTGGTTCAGTTTCAGCACTACCAATTTCAGTTGCCACTCTTTCTTTTTGCATCTCTCGTATCATATCTTTTCTCTTACAAGACCCACAAACGACAGTAACCACCAAAGCTAGTTGTTCAAAGAATTCATCAACATCATCATGTTTCTTTTCAACCGCCACTACCACTAATTGAAGTTGCGGTTAAAAACAATGTATATAATGTGCAGAACTGTTTTCATTTAAAATCAAAGATTTCAAACCGTTGAATGCACCACTCATATTACTTGCTCCATCATAACCTTGTCCCGTCACCTATATATTTAAAAAAATTAATAAAAAACTATAAGAAATAAAAATAAAACTAATATCGTATTAAAATTTAAAGGAATAAATATTTTATGATTTCTCACCTGAGCCATACTTAAGTTATTGTTGGAAAATACGGTATCAATGGCGGCTTTAAGAGTAAAAAAAGATGTATCCAACACGTGAACAACTCCAATAAATCTTTCCTTTACAATCCCAAGTCTATCAACATATCTCAAAACTATTGCCATTTGTTCTTTTTTGGAAACATCACTAGAGTCATCAACTAAAATAGCAAACACATCTTTACCAATTTCATCATAAATAGACTTGATTATCTCTTTTGAAAAGCAATCGACAATATCTTTTTGAATAGTGGGAGAAGTCAACTTTTCATTTTTTGGAGCATTTTCTAAAGTAACTTTAAAAATTTTCTCATTATCTTCTCTAATCAAAGATAAGACTTCAATGAAAAGTCCTTTATTATTAGACTTTTCCGTCTCATCATGTCCACGAAATGGTAATGCATTTTTCAATAAAAATCTACAACTATTGATTGTAGCACGTAATCGAATTTCATAATTACTTTTCTCAAGTTCTGTTTGCTTATGCAAGACTTCACCAATAGGCTGGTTTTTTCTGTCACACCCCAAAACCAGAACGGCAGAAACGTTCGGGGGCGGAGGACGTCATGTTTAGTATCACAAGTCATGCATCATAGTAATCAAAGAAATAAACAACCATTTCATTAGAAAGAAAGTGTTTACAAAGTATGTGGTTCACATAACATAGACTACAAAGTAAATAACAAAACAAGACATGAAGCTTATTATGCTCCATCTTCTGAATCCCAGAGCGCGTACATGTCTACTGGTCTCCTGAAAATACAAGTTATTTTGAAAGCGTAGATCAGCATTTAAGCTGGTGAGTTCATAAGATTTTAGTGATGTAAGTAAGCTGTAAGTAAGTTGTAAGTAAGTTGTAAGTTCTTTTAGAAAAGTTCTCCTGTTCCTCCAGAAAATCCTATATTTCCTTTTTTGATGAAAGATAAGTAAAAATGACTCTACAATCCTTTCTATGAGTACTAAATGGATGCAAGTTATATAAAACCCAGAGTAAACAAACAATCGATTGTGTGTATCTTCCCTAAGCCCACAACCAAACAAGGAACAGGAAATGAGGCGGAAGGCACACATCCCCTTGTTTGTTAGATCATCGTTGTATACAACCCTGGCGTATTCCCTTGGTACTCACGGAGTTAACTGTAATAGTTCCTTTATAATTTGATGAAAAGATTCTTTAAGAAAACCCTTATTTCTTTTAGTAAAAATGGTAACCACAATAGTTCCTTCTATAATCACTTAGTTTATACTAGCTATATATAATCTAATATCGAATAGATAGTTAGTTGTGTGAATCTGCCCTAAGCCCACAACCAAACAAGGAACAGGAAATAAGGCGGAAAGCACACATCCAACTACCTATCGGATATTAATTATATATAACCCTGATGTGTAAACTAAGGTATTATAGAATTTACCACTTAAGGTCCTTTAAGTTATACTGGTTTAATAAAATGGATTAAACCTTTACTGGTAAGTTTCTAGTTTTGTTTACCAAATGTTATATTTGAAAAAGTATGTTTTGTACTAGAAAACGGTGTATTGAATTAGTATACTACGACTTGGCCCATACCTGGTACTCCTTATGATTACTTGGTGTATACAGAATATATATATATATATATATATATATATATATATATATATATACCTAAGATCAAATAGATACTAGGCTGGGTGAATCTGCTCTAAGCCCACAACCAAACAAGGAACAGGAAATGAAGCGGAAAGCACACATCCTACTACCTGTCGGATCCGATTAATATATATTCCTGATGTATAAACTAAGGAATTATGAAGTTAGCATTATAGGCCCCTTCCTACTGAATGTACTAGACTCGACTGTTCTGTTTGTCGCTTGTAAGTTTTCCCTAGTTTATAACTATCTTAACTCGAAAATAGTTTGCATTACCTTTCAAGTGAGAATATCACAATATGAAAATAATGGGAAAATGTAAGTACACAGTTGTCCTTTAAATTAACAATCTGAAGTACTGGTTCCCTTAAAACAAGTATGTTTTTATTAAGGTCATAATGTGATGAGTAGTACCCATACCATACACTCTCCCTGCAAGAGATTCTGGTTACCAAACGCGGCTTCAGCAAACGAATTGTTAAGCCATGTAAATCTCACATTAAAGTTATATGATCATGTATACCCAATTTATTATCACCTTTTGTTTAGA